CACCTCCCCCTCTAACCCCCATCCCCTCCCCTTCTGCCATACCACCCCACAGATTCAGACGCTAGCCTCAAGAACCGAGTCCCTTCTACTGGAGTCCCGACAGATCAAAATCTGCGCCGCGTGTTTCGAGATCTCCGTCTGCCTGCTGCGCATCCTGGAGATGGTGGCCACCATCGCGCCTCAGGTCTTCACCGATTGGTCGAGGCCGTCTGCCGAGCTGTTCCTCAAACGTCTGATGCAGCTGCTGAGTCAGATCATGTCACGAGTCACCATGAAAGACGGCGCGTTCGAGAGCACGGTCGCGCTTCCTATACAAGGTGAGATGGCGCAGCTGAAATCATTTTGGGTTTTTTAATTTTTAGTCATAATTTTCCTTTGTTTTTAATTTCTGAGTGATAACGATTGATGACGGTACGCTGTTAGCTCATTTGATATGATGCCAATTGGCGTTTAGGGCAGCAACAAAGGATCTCCAGCTCTGTCTGTTTTGGGCCAGCTTGGTCAGCATTCCCCGCGAATGGTTCCAGGACTTCATTTCAGACTCTACTGTGCGTCTCCAGGTTACTTTGGGTCTGCCCCTTTTGCGACGTCCTTCGGGTGTCCAGTGGAGGGCAGTCTTCACAATAGAGTCTGGTTCTCTTCTCAGAACATGCCCAATCCATCTCCATCTTCTCGTTTTTATTATGGTGGTCATGTCCTCTTGTCTACATTTACGTAACAATGCCAATATATACCATGCACTTAATATATAAATGTGAGGCATTGTGGTGAAATCAGGTGCTCATCAACTTTGGGCCATATGGGGTTATTGGTGTCAATTTAAAGCTTGTTCACTTACCTTTCTTTTGATGAAAAAAAACCCACCCATCTATGTTGAATAGAAGTCAAAATATTTGCGATTGAAGGAGGTCAGGGTCACCTGGTTTCAGAGGTAAAATTAGCGAGAAAATGGCTGCTGAGTCAGATCATGTCGCAAGTCACCATGAAGGACGGCGCGTTCGAGAGCACAGTCGCACTTTCTATACAGGGTGAGCCGGCGCTGCGAAAATCTTCTTGTTTTTTTGTTTGTTTGTTTTTTAAGTCATTATTTCATAATTTTCCTTTTGTTTCTAGTGTCTGTGTGATAACAATAGATGGCGGTGCATTGTTAGTTCATTTTATATAATGCCAATATATCGTCATCATCATCCGGTGCCTTGCCAACTGGCGTGGGCGATCATGGACCTCCACTTCACTCTGTCTTGCGTTGCAGCAATGGTGTCTGTTGTTCTTGCTGTTCCCAGCCATGTTGTCAACTTGTCCAGTATCTTTTCCCTTTGTCTGCCTCTGCCTCTCTTTCCATCAAACTTGCCTGTTGTTACAATAGTCTCCAATGCTTCTTTCCGCATTGTGTGTCCGAAGAAATTTGCCTGCCGCTTTCTTTTATTCTGCCAATATATACCGTGAACTTAAAATATAAATGTGAGGCATCGTGGTGGAATCAGGCGCCTGTCAATTTTGGGGCATATGGGGTTATTGGTAACAGCTTAAAGCTTGTTCACTTGCCTTTCTTTTGGTGAAATAAACATCCATCTATGTTTAATAGAAGTCGAAATATTTGCGATTGAAGGATGTCAGGGTCGCCTGGTTTCAGAGGTAAAATTAGCGAGAAAATGGCTGCTGAGTCAGATCATGTCGCAAGTCACCATGAAAGACGGCGCTTTCGAGAGCATGGTCGCACTTCCTCTACAGGGTGAGATGGCGCAGCTGAAATCATCTTGGGTTGTTTTTTAGTCATAATTTTCCTTTGTTTTGAATTTCTGAGTGATGATGATAGATGAGGGTGCACCGTTAGCTCATTTTGTATGATGCCAATATATAGTGCACTTAATATATAAATAGTTTTTTTGTTTGTCCAGTGCTCTGATTTGTTGCTGGATTTTTGTAAATGTATCGACATGGTAGTAGTTGTTATGCTTGAAGAAAAGACGTGACAAAATTCAGGAAACAAAAATATTGTTTAAAAATGAATGATGGTTACTATGACGGTAGTGATGATTACTACAAGGATGATGATGATGATGAAATGTTGAGAACAATGTGCGAGATTCATCTTGATGTTAGTTTATTTCTTAGTTTGGTGCTTACTCTTGATCCTCTGAGGCAGGACATTACCTCGTCTTGTGATGTTAAGGGTTTTGCGGAGACATTTCATTTCGCATGCTGTGATTTTACTTTCTTGGGTTTTGCTTAAGATCCAGGTCTGGCACTGATAACATAATGTTGGTACTAATATTGAGATAAGCTGTCTCTTTGTGTCCTTGGAGATGTTTGGATGAGATAGGAGGGGTGCGAGCTGGTAAGTGACATCGTTGGCTTTTTGAGTTCACATTTCTATTTCTCTGTCTATGGACCCATTTTCAGAAAAAGTGCTGCCAAGATATTTAAACTCTTTCACCTGTTTCAGTTGTTTACTATTGACATGGATGTTCAGGGGACTATGGTTTCAGCTCACTTTGTGAGAATAATCTGGATAAAAGATGGATTAGGTAATATTATGATTCACAATTTTTTTTGTCCCATGACATAACATTTCCACAGGGTCAGAAAAGCTCAGGGTTTTTTCTCCATAGCCAGTTGGCACCTCTGAGGTATAATTCAGGGCTAGACTGATACTATGTATAATTATATTAATTATAATTGCTCTTTTGAACAGGTTGGCTTCTCATGCCTACCCCAGGTCATGTGACATGTGGTGTTTATTTCCCCAGGTCTGGACAGTGTGACCTTTTACCCCATCCTGACGGTGACTGTTGGCATCATGGCTCAGCTCATTGTGCGCTGTGGGGGGAGCAGGTGAGGGGTCATTGTTGATCTTTGTTGTAGGGGGTGGGGGGGGAGCAGGTGAGGGGTGATTGTTGGTCTTTGTTGTATGGGGAGGTGTGACGCATCATGGCTCAGCTCATTGTGCAATGTGGGGGGGGGGTTCACGTTTGATCAGGGTAGCGGGTATCAACTTTTATAACTCTCAAAAAGCTCATAAAAAAACGGATGCAAAATTTTAATTAGTCTAACAAAAAGATAAACCTATATTTAACTACCCCACCTGCAGAGATAACAGTACACATATTATTATTGCAACCCGCTGCGACATTGCGTTGCACTGATTCAAATGGGGGTCGAGGGACGAAAAACAACGAAGGAGTATCGACTAAGCAAGACAAGCAGTAAGATTCGACTATAAGCCCTTAGAGGATCTACAAAACACTGTACTGCATACATGATGATGTCGCTCCTTTCTAATTGGTATTCAAGTCACGCGTCCTTTGCTACCATTCCGCCGGATTCTTAATTGTTGAATCCTTTGTACTTTAAAAAATGATGTACAACGCAGGATAAACACACAACCACACACACACACAGACAGACACACACACACACACACACACACACACACACACACACACACATGTATATAAATAAGCATACCCTACATGTATATTACATGCCATAAGCTGGGCCTTTGCTTTCGCATATTATTAATGAAAGATGAATGAACCTAACTCTTTCAATA